GCTCATTGGTAGTATCAGCATTGGCTTTTAAGAATGCACCACAACGGTTTCTTATTGGAATAAAACTGGTTTCTGAGCTGAAGGCGATAGCGATCACCCTTTCATAAGAATATAGTGGTGCTGTGATGTGTATGGAGTAAGTAACTTATGATTTTATGTTGCGGAATAGTCGCCGCGCCGGTCAGGTGAGTCAAAAGCAGCGAGTTGTGCTGAGCTGTATGCAGCAGTTTAGCAGGCACTGGAGCCCATGTGTAAGCGTGTGTGTGGCTTTGTTTTTGAAATTGTGAATCGCAGCAGTGGCTCAGCCGTAGATCGGCCGGAGTCAATGCAACGGCGAACGCGGCTGTGGACAGTAGTGAATATTGTGTAAGATCACACTTTGCCGAACGCAAACGGCGCACGGTCTGTGACAGAGCTAAAAGTGAAATCGTGCAAAGCGGGCCGTCAACACAAATGTGCGCATAGCCGCGACTCAGTACAGCATCCGCGCAGCAGTGCTACAGTAGAGTTAACGACAGTRTAGTTAGTGCCCGTATACCACCTGTGGCTACWTGAATGAAATTGAGTTTTCGRCGTTGTGAATTTCTATTTGAACTCGAAAGATGCGCTTCCATTCGAATACGTTTGTTATTTAATAAGTACACGCAATCAATTAACTGTAAATCGTGAAAGCGTGTTAATAAGTGTATCTAAAGCGGATTAGCGATAGTTGTGTGTGTTTGCGGATCAACGTGCCAGCAGTGTCCAACAACCGGCGTCATGAGTGCTGCCATAGAGGGGTCAGGCGAGGTCAACGCCGTTGATGCGCAGAATAATGAGATCAATGCAACYGTAAGGCCAAGTTAAATGGAACGCAAGCAATTGAAGTAAAGGTTGTTCAAAAGCGAGCGGGAAATCTTTTAAGATAGCAAAAAATGTGTCATACACACATGCACAAACATATTTGTGGAGATTGTGCGCGATTTTGCTGACACACTTCAGCTCAGTGCACTTACAGCAATTTCGACTATGTCTGTCCGAAAACACAGCCAAATTTTCATGTTCAATTTTATGTACACGTGTATCCAAGCCTAGCACGCTTAAATAAAGTATGTGCAATCTACCATACAAGGTGTACAAATCCATCAAACACTGCAACAACTACAAAGCCATGCATCTGCCGAGTGGAGCGGCTAAAGAAATACCAAAGAAGTAACCACAAAGCCAACACTGGCCTCTATCGCAACTCTAAGTAATTTTTTTTTTGAGATCTCTACTTTCAAAACATAACAAAGGCAAATAAACAAACTATTGACGAAGCCACTTAAGCTGAGCTATGTCTTTCCTATGTGCATCAACAGTGCTGGCAGCGCATGTGAGTGTGTGTATGTGAGCACCTTCTGCACTAGTTTTGCTTCTGAGTTATGGCACTTTGGAGCTGCGAGTGAACTGAAGGTGCTGTTTGTTGTTGCTTTTTTGTTYGTTTTGCGTCTTTTGCCGTGTTTCAGTAACCAGTTGAGCGACTAAATCGAGTTCAGGGTACAAAAATTCAGCAAAGCGGCACTTTGGCTATGGGATCAATATCATATTACATTTAAGTGGTTCTCAATTAACAAAGCAACTGGTTGAATCGCATTTATCGTGCATACGAGATCGCTATCGCAGAGGTCTACAACTATTTTCATCGGTGCTGAACGGCGCACTATTCGATGTGTACTTAGTAATATTTTGTAAACTAATTGGCCGACTTGGGGCCTTGATTATTCGCACTGTAGGAAAAGTACCAGCAACTTGTAATGCAAAATAATACATTTTAGAATGACGACTTAGGCGCGAAAGGGCAGACTAAATAAATATTTTTACATGTATTAGTGAGCATGTCGCCGTGCRGGTTTGTTGGAGCAGTTCKCTGCTACTTCAGAGGCAGCGGTATCGAACCCCATAATTAAATAAATTAGAAGTGAATTGTATAATGATTTCATTTAATAAGAGAGCAATATATGTATTTACCATATTTTATATTACGAAGGCAGCTGCGATTCAAATAATATATGCAACAATGTGTAACGATTTMTTATCTTACCTCYTATCAGCAAACCAGTGTCGAGGTTAAATTGCCGCTCGAAAAAGCTGAACAACGCAACACAGAGAGCAGTGAAAAGGCGTCAAGGACGATACATACTACTATTGACGTGGATGGAGACGACGAAAAACAAGTACATAAAGACCCCAAGCAGACTGGTTCGAATGGCATCCAAAATGGCCAAGGTCAAGGSTCGACAAGTCAGCAAGTCGAAGCTGACGACCCCGAACCAACGACTAAGTGTAAACTTCTGTTGGTGGTGCTCACAGCGAGTACTGCAGTYGTGGTCGTCGCGCTGCTGTGGAGTTTCTTTGGATGGACAAGCGGCCTGCCAGCATTGCTTGTCGCCATTGTTGKTTTGTTACTARTGACATTGGGCTGGCGTTGGTTCTATATAGCGGCCATAACTTCTCAGCGCGATATTACGTGAGTAATAAGAATAAGCTAATCTAACATTTTTAATGAAAATTCTCTTCTCYCCTCATTAGCGCGCTATGGGCTTACATAAAACTACTCTTGCTCATAAAGCGATATGAGCGCAGAAACGTTTCTATAAGTGATATGTTTCAAATGAACGTGTCAAAGCATCCGGACAAAACTGCGATCATAAGTGAGACGCAGTCTTGGACATTTCGGCAACTAGATCAGTTTGCCAGTCGCATTGCAGACATATTTCACAGTCACGGCTACAAAAAGGGCGATGTGATTGCATTGATGCTGGAGAACCGCGTCGAGTTCGTCGGCATATGGTTGGGCCTTTCGAAGCTTGGCATTATAACAGCACTTATTAACACCAACCTTAGGGAGCGCTCACTGGTGCACAGTATTACCGTGGCTAAATGCTTAGCTCTCATCTATGGCGAAGATTTTGCGGAKACTGTGGAAAGCGTTGCGTCTGAAATGTCAGCAAAATTATATCAATTCAATAATGAAATAAATAGGGCAGTTCGAAACTCAGCAGAAGATTTGGCCACCTTGATGAACTCATCCACCCATGTCACAACGCAACCGAGCACCATTCAACACCCRAATCATCACGACAAGCTTATGTATATTTACACATCCGGCACCACTGGTCTACCGAAGGCTGCAGTAATCTCCCATTCCCGGTATGTTAAACTATTCAATACGAGGGTTTGTGAATATTTCTATTCTGAACTAATATTTGCAGGTACCTATTTATAGCGGCCGGCATTCACTACGCCYTGAACTTCAGAAGCAAAGATGTGTACTACACCCCACTRCCGCTATACCACACAGCCGGTGGAGTTATGAGCATGGGGCAAGCCCTGCTCTTCGGCTCGACCGTCGCTATTCGGAAAAAGTTCTCAGCTTCGGGTTATTTCAGTGACTGTGTGCGCTACAACTGCACCGTAAGCAAATCAAATAAATAAGATACCATTTCCTATGACTTAATTTATATGCCTCTAGATAGCACAATATATCGGCGAAATGGCCCGTTACATATTAGCTACGCCCCCAACGGAATACGATCGTTCGCATAAAATTCGTATGATTTTCGGTAATGGGCTGCGTCCGCAAATCTGGTCGCGCTTTGTTGAACGTTTCAACATTCCAAAAGTGGGTGAATTCTACGGAGCTACAGAGGGAAATGCCAATATTATGAACAACGACAACACTGTTGGCGCAATTGGATTTGTTTCTCGAATTCTGCCACAAATCTATCCAATATCCATAATAAAAGCTGACCCCGATACTGGTGAGCCCATACGTGGTGCCGATGGTTTGTGTAGACGYTGCGGCCCCAATGAATCAGGCGTATTCATTGGTAAAATAATTAAGGGCAATCCGTCCAGAGAATTTCTGGGCTATGCTGACGAAAGCGCGTCTACGAAGAAAATAGCACGTGACGTGTTCAAGAAAGGTGACATGGCATTCCTATCAGGCGATCTACTGACGTCTGACGAACGTGGCTACCTCTTCTTTGTCGATCGCACGGGCGACACGTTTCGYTGGAAGGGCGAGAACGTATCCACAAGTGAGGTGGAAGCACAAGTTAGTAATATGGCCAATTACAAGGACACAGTAGTATATGGCGTGATAATACCGCATACGGAAGGCCGCGCTGGTATGGCGGCGATTTATGACCCACAGCGCGAAGTGGATCTCGAACGCTTCGCACGAGATATGGCGGAGGCACTTCCAGTCTATGCCAGACCGCAGTTCTTAAGATTCCTAACTCACATTGACCTAACCGGTACATACAAATTGCGTAAGGTGGACCTGCAGAAAGAAGGCTACAATCCGAATGTCATACAGGATGAACTTTACTACAAAACGCCCGCCGGCAGCTATGAGACATTAACGCGTGATATATACGACAGAATAAATAACGGTGGAATTCGGTTTTAATTTGCTTAATTTTAATTTCGTAAATTTAATTTAGTTGTAGACAGTGTTATGAATGTTAGGATAAGATTATTTCTAGAAGTAGAAACTAAAGGCAGTTTTGTGTAACTGTAATCGCTAATCACTACATGTGAGTAATTTAAGTTACACTGATTTATCATAATCGCTCTAAATAAGAACGGCTGAAAGCGAAGTAGATATCAAATTRCTTACCATTTTCGAGTCGAAATTTAATAAACCATCAGACTCTTAGTCAATTTAGTCAAAGTTCTTCCACAAAATATATACATATGTGCCTGTGTAAGTACTAATCAGTTTGAGGAGATGTGAAGGGCTGCGTCTACCGGCTGGGCTTGCAATAATTAACCGCAAACGCAGGCGAAACGGATTCCGTTGACTTCCTCTTCTAATTTATTTTCAATCTAATTAAATAATGGCTCGAAGCAATGCGAGCAGTTAGCTCACCTGCAATATGAATGGCGCTTCATTGTAATAATGCGAGTGCAGTTTGACTTTGCACCAGAAAAAAAGGAACACAACAAGGAAACTATTTCACTTAACTGCGACGCACTTAGCAACTGGGTCACAACATTCATCGGGACATGAATAAAAGTGCCATTTGTTTGCCATTATTATTTCAAGGTATAAATAAAGACCATTAAATTAAAGGCTTTCAACATTATGCATACAATCGCATGAAGGGAAGAGGAAGACTAGCTATTAAAACATAAAAGCATTCAGCAAGAAGCAGATAGAAGATAAAAACGTGAATGGATACAAATTTAATATGGYCCACAATCACTTAGGGCAATCAACATGAGTACTCTCAAACATTGTATCGGGGCATACTCGAAGAGACAGGTAACTACAGGGTTTGTCCGGAGCGTAATAGGACTGATTTTCTTCTGCCGCTACTGAACTTCGGAGCGTGCACGCGCGGACTGGATTCGGTAGAGGGCGTTCTTAGCTAACGTACTAGCGGCTGGTCAGTTCTCTCCGAGCACCTASAGGKTCAGGACAAACATTTTCGMGYGACTTGTTTCTATGAGTGATGCAAGCCGAAAGTATAGCGTTCGTCAGAGCAGAGGTACGCTATTAAACTCTGTGTGAAACTCGGTAAATCTGCGACAGGGACGTTTGATACGATCAAGCAGATTTTCACAGATGCTTCTTTAGCGAGAAGTGGTGTCTTTCGGTAGCACCAGGCATTTTAGAGGCCCGGTTAGAAGTCACTGATGAATGAGCAAACTCAAAGTGAAAACGATGTCAATTGTCATGAATTTGCTCATATTGGACAAACCGTCAGAGCCAAGTTTTACGTTGAAGTCCTCAATAGACTCAAACGAAGAGTCAATCGGGTCCACCAAGAGATCGCAACCGATTGGGAGTTGCACCACAAAAACACCCACTCTCACATGTCATTTCTTGTGAACAGCTACCTAATCAAGATCGGCATCCCAACGCTTCCGCAGCCGGCCGATGAAAGGTAAGCATTTTGTAAACACAGAGGAGCTGTGTGCACCTCGGCTCTCAAGGCTATTCCGGAGAGTACCTTAAGTGACAACTTCAATGCTTGGAAATCGCGCTGGCAGCGCTGCAATGACGCAGAAGAAGCCTATTTTGAAAATATTTAAAGAATTGTAACGATTGGTTAAAAAAATTTTGTTAATTCTACTCAGTCCTATTACTTTCCGGCAAACCGCGTACGTTTAATATTAGCCGTTCTAAAAAAGTAGTGGACATTTTCTGTATGATTATACTTATTTTTCTGTATTTCAATACGGCAACATAACTCCAGTGGGGCATGAGCAGTCCTCCCACATTTCATGCTGACCAAACAGAAATTGCCGTAACGAGGTGCGAGCTCCGCGATTGCACTTTCCACGCCGCACTATTATGCTATGCTAATTTTTATAACTTTTTCACTTTTTGCCAGGCRTGCCATTTCGAAATTTGTTCCAATGTGACACTAACTTTGTAGAGACTTGAAAAAAGTGATTTTATATCATACTCCGTCATTGCTGAAGGTTGCGTAAATTCTATTCTTGCCAGTTGCCTTTCTTGGCTCCATTCATTTTATCATTTCGCCACTTCATCATTGTCGTTCGCATGCGACACGACGACCCGCCCTGGCCATCGCGTTGATGCCGGGCACAGCGATGCTCGTAATGTCAAGCATTTCGTCAACTTTGTCGCGGTTAAATGGAAAAAAAAAGCACAGAAATAGAATCATTTGCAGACCGCTGTCACAATTATGCATTGTTGTTGCTGCTATGACAGCAAGTAGCAGCACGCAGAGACTCTGTGTGTTCTCTACTCTACTGCTGCGGCAATTGGAAGTCATCGGAAGTTATGTGTCGCTTTCAAATGTAATTGGAACTTCCGCAGCGCTGCAGCGTCTCGTTTCTTTTTCGCTCTTTGCTCTTTATTTTCATACATTAGAAAACTTTCTCTTCCCTCTTTATTTTWCCCAACACGAATGAGGGGTGGTGCAGCGCCAACCTTTCTTTTGTTCATTCGGCTATATTAGTTGCTTTGTTCGACATTTCGTTTACTTTTACGAGTCTTCTTAGCATTTCATAGAGTGCTACTTGCATTTCTATTTTATATCTCTCCCTTAATTTCCTTTATAATTTTATTGCGCTTCTGCTTYATTTTTGCACTTGCCTCTCCTCTCATTCATTTAGCGTAATTTTTGTTCGTTATTTAAGTGGCTTTTTCCTTAACCCCGTCGCCGAAGGTTGTCATAACCTCAAAACGGTGGGGTTGAATGTAAATGTTGCGCTGTGGTAACTACTGCCAAGTAATGACTAAAGAAAACATTTTTAAGTTTTAGCAATCAATATCACATAACGGTTAATAATTTCCAAAAATAGCCTAGTTTAAAACTTTTCAACGAACAGTTCCGAGAAATCGGGGAATGGTTATCGTGTTCATCCTCTTTGACTTCGTGAAAACTTCTGTGACATAAAGGGTTGGTTCGGAAAGGAATAGGACTGAGTCGATTAAAAAAAAAATTGTTGAACAAATTTTTAAAAACTTTCAAAATAGGCTCCTTCTGCGTCGAAGGCGTCATGGAAGGCATTCTCCGGAATAGCCTTGAGAGCCGAGCTGCATGCCTCGTGAATACGCTCTGTCGTCCCAAAATGCTTGCCTCTTATTGGCCTTTTCAGGCAAGGAAACAAAAAAGTCTATGGTTAGGTAGCTGTTCACAAGAAAGGCGGTGTGAGCCTGTGCGTTGTCTTCCAACCGACTGCGATGTGTTGTCGGACCCGATTAACCCTTCGTTTGAGTCTCTTGAGGACTTCCATGTTAAACTTGGCGTTAATAGTTTGGATGAACAAATTCATGGTGGATGATGTCTCTCTCTGATGTCAAAAAAAGACAATAGCCATCGTTTTCACTATGGATTTGCAAATTTTTYCGGTCTTCATCAGCGACCTCTTCGGGGCCCTCCAAAAAGACCTGGTGCCACCGAAACTCACCATTTGTTGCTAAAGCAACATCTGAGTAAGCCTGCTTGATCATATCAAACGTCTCTGCTGCAGATTTATTGATTTATTTTCACACAGAATTTAATCATGTACCTATGCTGTAACGAACGCTGCATTTTCGACTTGCATCACGCACAGAAAGACGACGCGCGAAAATGTTTGTCCTGACTTCCAGGTGCTCGCAGACAACTGAMCAGCCGCTCGTTTGTTAGTTAGGAAGGCCCTCCACCGAATCCAGTCCAGTCGTATTACTTACCCGACCAACACTGTAGTCTCTCTTACATGGACGTTTAAATTTTAGCTGTAAACCAGCGTGTTGCTGCTCTTAAATTTGCATCTAAACTTTTTGTATTTTTGAATTTTTTAGTGYGGATCTGATGGCTTGATACTTTCTGTCAATTAGCGCAAGTTGTTAGTAGATTTTTACGAAATTTGCTCGTTTTGGCGCCAATGCTCGGCAAATGTTTCACTTTATTTGGCAATCTCAGTGCGAGCATCAAAAGTTAGTAGAACAGTTAACGCTGCAGTTTCCAATTGTCAAAAAAAATAAAATAAAATAAAATAAAGCGAACTTTGACTACTGTGAAATCGAAATTCAACAAAATGCAGAGGCTGAAACAAATTCCGCGGCACTTTACCAACCATTTCACTTCATTTGCACACAGAAATGTTGTCTCAGGCAAGCAGCAGGCGGAGGCGAGGGTGATAGTACAAGGCTGTGAGGCAAGGGACACACTATCGAAGAAAGTTCGCCTTTCGCCTATATATTTTTCGCTTTTGTTCCGATTTTATCTTTGYGCGGAAGCCGCGTCTACTGCGAAGTGGTGCACAAGCTTATCTTGAGACAAATCTTTGGAAACTACGAATATTCGCAAAAAGAACTCGCAGGCAAATTTGAGCGAAGGCCAAGGGAAAATAAGAAATAATTACAATGAAGTTTGTCGAAACTACAGTTGTTTGCATTTATTTGCCATTACTTTATTTATATGCACATACATACATACATATGTACATATTTTTATATCCCTCACCACCTCTTTAATGTATTCAGCGCCCATTTTCGGCGTGCGTGTGTGTGTGTGCAACTATTTTTTCATGTTTCTTCATGGCAGCCCTTAGTTTTTGCAGTTTTGTGCTAAAAGTGAGACTTGACAGTGGCGTGCGCTGGTAATTCGATTTTTGTGGCACAAAAGAGCCATTAGGGAGCGTCTTTGCAAGATTTGTATGCTAATGCGACAGCGTCAAGACAACTGTACAAAAGCAACTAAGGAAATTATGTCCATGTCTTTTGCCTTTCTATTTTTAATTGAATGTGGTAATTTCGGCAATTAAGCAGCTTGACAATAAGAATGACCATGAGGATGAGGGCAGAGACATGAAGTTGACTTAACTGGCGGAGCGGAGTGCATAGCGAATTTCTTACCTGGAAGCTATCGGATTATTGTATTTGTATAATTTAAAGAGAGGCGTTTATGCTTTTACGAAAATTTCTCTAGTTCTAGCTAAGTCGCGGTAAGAGCTGAGAGGCAATTACCAAAGAAGAAAGGAGTTTAAGATTTTAGGAAAATGTTTACCAAAAAAAGAAAAAAAAGGAATTTATGATTTGAAAACAATTTTTCCTAGACAATTACCCACCAATCTGCGAAGGCCCAGCCATACTAAATGCTGCGATGCTGTGTGTGGGGTCTAGCTTGCCATTGCTTCCCCTGACGTCCACGCAATTGCCAAATTATCAGATGAGCTGCTCAAATTAAAGTGATTGCAGTA